TATTATTANNNANNNATTATTATTATTATTATTATTATTATTATTATTATTATTATTATTATTATTATTATTATTATTATTATTATTATTATTATTATTATTATTATTATTATTATTATTATTATTATTATTATTATTATTATTATTATTATTATTATTATTATTATTATTATTATTATTATTATTATTATTATTATTATTATTATTATCATGATTATTATTAATTATTATTATTATTACTGTTATTAGTTATTGATTACTACTTGCTTTTTTAATATTTTCAAATAACAATGAAATTAGTGTAAAAATTTAGTGAATATTTTTAGGACAAAAAGAAACTCGAATAGTAATTTGTTTGAATAGTGAAAAACTTTAACGATAATTAATCAGATTAATCAAAAACTATTTCGGAATTTAATAAGTATTTTATATTAGTATTATAGGAAGTGCTCCATGCTTCTATGATCGCACGGAGATTACGGTACAACTTGAACTTACGATATATATTATCACTATGTTGTCTCTCATAATTTTGTTACTTCAATATATCACAAAAAGCAAATCGTAATTATCAAGTTCCCTATGCTTTTGAGGGTGAAAGTTCACAGATATCTTGTGCATAAAGCGTATTCTGCATTATTCTATTTCTAATCTTGAATATTCTTCTGTAATCACTGTATCTACCCTATAATAATCTTGCCTAAAAGTAATGACTACTGTAGCCAACCTTTGATATCTGATAATAATGACAAATGATATTTGTATTTAGGAGAGGATATTAGATATCATATGATATATAATTAATTTGAATATGGCGAATTCATTATCCAATTATAATAGCAACTGTTCGGGATTTAATGGTGTTTCAATGATTTTGCGAAATATTTTACTCTTCTTTATAGTTCGATATACAATAATGAAAGAAATTTGATTTTTTGCAAGATTTTCAACAGATCCTTCAATAAATTTAAGTTTTTGCGACATTATTATTTTTCATGGCAATTATAAGATGACAAATATGGAATAAATGATAATTTATATCTATAATAATAGTAAATTCCTAAATGATTTTCATTCAAATAATTGAAGAATTCATCAAATTCTTTCTCTTTTTTCCTATCTTCAAATGAAAAAATTTGGGAAAAGAATAAGACTTAACAAATGATCACTAAGATTATTTTTGTAATTTTGTTTACATTCTTATTTTCGTTGAAAACTGAAATTGCATATTTATTCTTTGAATTTATTTTATTGAAATTTACATTTCCCTACATTTCCACCCCCTACTTCCCCCCAATTAACTGACTAATCCTTGTTTTTAAAAAAATGTTAAGGGAAGAAAATGGGAGATTGCCTAATTAGACATGATATATGATATCAACCAGAGTAATATCCCTCTTATTAAACCTCTAGGATTCTTTATAGAGATACCAACAACATATTGTACAACATTTAACGAACTCGTCTTTTATTCATCAACTTTCAACATTACATTGTTTTTTTCTTATTCCTTCAAAAGAGTTTATCATGCCTAAATTTTATTTTTAATCAGTAAATGAAATTTAAGAATTCCTGGGTTATTAAAAAGATCCAAAAATGGGCATTCGTTATGCCAAGAAGGTTAGTTAAATCAAATTTGTTTACGTCTAACACTTTACGGGTATAAACAGAGTTAGTATGGATTTTAACCAACGTGGCTTAACTCAGATACATGAATATTAAATTAAGCCTAGAGTTAGTTGACGATTGAAAATTCACAATTAAAAAGTATGAATTTGCTAAATTTCGAAAATATGAATGCTTCTTTCGTTTACTTTTCCGTTCTTCCCAAATTAATTATTTAACTATCAAAAGAAAAAATTAAAACCAGTCAGAAAAAAGCTAATTTGATTAATTAGCTGAAAAAAAAGTTACCGTAATTTAATTGTTGCAATCGAAATACGGCAGGATGCAAGATAATGCTGTTAAATAACTTAACTAAAAACAAGAGAGTACTTAAATTTAAAATGGAAACTTTATTGAATCGAAATCAAATAAATCCATTGAAATTGTTGCTAATCATGTCTTTTGGTGAATATACCTTTGCTTTTATTCAATAAATCCTCAAAATTTCAACCAAGTCGAATTGAAATATTTATCAATGTTACTTCTCCCAAAACGAGAAATATAAGGAAAGCATCCAAATTGGAAATTGTGAAGTGAATAAGGAGAAGAAATCAACCTTGAAAAAAAGAAAAAATTTCATTCCTTATTTCGAACTTATAAAAATTCCAATATAACCACTTTTTTTATTCTTTCTTTCCTTCTCTCTCTCTCCTCTTCCTTCGTCATTTCTCATTGTTATTCTCTTTCAGGAATTAAATAAGCTTGAAAAGAAAGAGTGGAAGTAAAAGCAGACATTTTCCATAAGTAATTTGAAGAGGAATTTCAAAAACGAGAAATGAATTATCAAAATATGATTTCTCCTTCTCTTTCTTTATTTGAATTAAGACAGAGAGATGAATGAGTGATTGTATCGATATGAAATGAAAGGTAAAAAGGGGAAGACTAATCAGATAAAAAAGTGAAAGGAATGAAACAAGCAGAGTGGAAGAATTGGAAATATTTTCGATTGATTCAAAGATAAAGAAAAGAAAGGTAAGCGAGGAAAAGAGAAAGAAAAGTGCGAGGATTGAAGGATAGCTAAGAGACAGGAAAATGATGGAAGTATTGTGTAATGTCATCAAACAAACATTACTGAAACAGAGAGACTCTGTAAATTCTTTTAAAATAGTGCTAATAGTAAAAAGAATGACAATAATTTAATAGTTGTAATGAATTGAAGGGAGAGATAATGATTTAATCGTTGTATTGAATGGCAGATAGTAATTTCATCGTTATAATGAATAATGAATTGAAAGGATGGGTCATCACAGAATGGATAATGATTTCATTGTTGTAATGAATGGTATACTATTCTCACACAAATATCTTACTTTGACATATATTTTCACTAATTTTTTTCATTAATTTTCATTAATAAAGATAAAAGATGATTGTTATTAGGAGAGGAGAAAGAAAATTTAATATAAATCATTTGTAACAAATTCTGGAATTGAAATAAATCAACATATATTATGACAGCTTATGTTCCATGGCATGTATTCAATATTATTAAAGTGCTCGATATTAGTGGGAGAATGATACTCGAACAATCAGTTAATTTGTTAAATTTTTTCTGATATGTATCTTCTTTTAAATTTTAATTGTTCAAAAACAACACCGACTTCCTTTAAATTTTTCTCTTTTCATCTTTCCGCTTCTTTTGCTTTAAAAGTTATTTGAAATTTAAGATAAAAATGAGGAAAGAAAATATTATTCCCGACCTATTATGGATGAAAAGGCAAGAACAATTGTATTTTTATCAATTCATTGCACTTATTTTTGGTATCACATTTGATATCATTTGTTGTAAGAATCATAAAGAACAGAACTATATTTTTCAAAATTCAGTTCAAATTCTAAAATGTCAATGGTAAGATTAACTATCAAATAATGGTAATAGCACAATATGGTACAGCAAATAACCTAAAGTGAAGAAAGTAAGTAATGCAGATAGTAGAACAGCTCGAACTATTAAATGCAGTTTGGATGCATTGAATTCTCGGATTAAATTAAGCACTTGAGCTCGTGTCTCCTCCATAGTGCCACTATTATCCACAACATGAGTTGCACGACGACGTTTATCAGACATCGGATGCTGTGCATTGATCCGTTTTTGAGCTGCTTCCTCATCAATATTGTCTCGCTGTTGCAACCGTTTCAGTTGAATATCTTCAGGACTGAAAAAAAGAGTTGTACGTAAAAGTATTTTATTATTTATATTTCACAGTGATCATATAGCAGTATCTCACTTTTATCATTAACTTTATGATCATGATTTGTTGAGGAAATAGATAATTTAAGATTTTAAGCATTTACGTTTCATTTTTTTTTTCATACCGTATTTTATTTTATCAGATGACTGTTTTCTTCACCAACACCTTTTTCTAGTGATACCAATAATGCAAATGTAATCAAAATCGACAATTTATTTTGTTGCAAGGAGAAAATTCAAAAGTATTTAAGTCAGATTATCAGTATTTTTATTGAAAATTACATTTCAAATATTCTATTTCAAAACTTCTACTAAAACCAAAAACAAAATTATTATATATAAAAGGAAATTTGTTATTAAAACGTTGAATATACATAAACTCACCAATCTACCAATACTACTGACAGCAAAAATTTCGCATAACCAGCTTCAAAAAGTAATGGAAGATCTAAAATAACGAATTCTTCACCACGAAAAAAATGCTGCAAAATTCGAAGTACTATAGTTTTACGTATCTCGGGATGTACAATGGAATTCACCAAATGACGAACCTGAAGATTACTGGTTAGAAGTACTCATCGATAAAAATTGCAAACTATTTGATATGTTTGAAGGATGAAAAAAAGGACAAGGAAAATAATATTCGAAAAGATAATTGGGAATTTGAGATTTTCATCAGAGAAAGAATTATATGAAATATAAATATGCTGATAATAAAGAAAGAATTTACATTTTCATCAGAGAAAACCAAATCACCGAATTTTTTCCTCAACAATTCACCATTCACGCAATCAAAGAATTCATTGCCAAAATGCTGGCGCAACTTTTTATATGCATTTTTACCTGGTGCAACAACTGCAAAATGAATTAATGAATAGATTATTGTTTTTTCTAAGCATACAAAAATATAAATTACTAAATTTATTTGAAAAATTTCCTCTTTCGTTCATCACTTTGTAGTTCCCCTTATGCGATAAGCTCGAAATTTATCAAATAGCATAGACTCCTCTTTTGACACTTTTCTCATTCATTATAGAAAATGTTAAATTGCATTTTCTTGGTTTTTTGTAGAAAATCAAATAGACTTTATTGACATCATGCTATACATACCCATCATATCATATGTCTTATCAAAGATAATGAAAATTTTGTCAATTAGTAATTTAACCAGTCAAATCAAAAATTTAGTTTATATTTCGAAGAGATGATAAAGGTCATATAAATTAAAATAACTCATGCAAAATTATTACCATGACTGTACCAAATTTTGTAATTTCCCAATGTTATTAACAAATTTGTACAAACGAGTTAATTTTTCTAATAAAATAGATTATTTGATTTATATAATTCAAATAATCGTTTTTTGTGAAGTAAGATACATATGCTCATTTACGGCTGTTATTGGAGTTAAAACATTAAATATAACCATAAATTTCCAAAGCTTTCATCACATCATTCCCTAAATTAACAACAGTAGCAATTCATTAGTTCTTGTTAATCAGATGAAAAAATCATACCTTCACGAGCAATTAAATCTGCATCAATAACTGGAATTCGATTTTCGACAAAAATTTGCGAAACAGTACTTTTCCCAGTTGCTATACCACCAGTTAAACCGACCAAATACATATTTTACAGCCCCTCAATCACCATTCTCTAAAATTTGTAGAAAAAAAAAATCAAATTGTGATTCATCCGAAAAAAAATGGATATACATATAAGAAAACTCTACCGTTTCTTTCTCCTCTTTCTCACATTATACAGAATCTGAAACATTCTTTCCGCATGTTCCGCTTTCCATGATTTCTTTTCTCATAATTGAGAATATTCTTATCATCACTTATTTGATATATAAAACCTTTATCAAACAAAAACAACATGACCAAACATCAACAACCCTCCTATTTGATTTGCTTTTTTCTAGAACAATCCAGTCTTACACTAAATACTTGAAAAAAAAATGTGAATGCTTACAATGCGAACAATAATAGGATGATTTGATTGTTATTAAAGCAAATATAACTTCCCCCCTCCCCCCCCCCCCTCCAACTATTTCATGATCGTGCAAAACAAAAATATAAGAAATGTTGACACACATACACATACACATACACACACACACACACACACACACTTGCCAGACCCACCAAACCCTTTGTTTCAATAGACTCTAAAGAACTCCCAAAAGTTAATTAGTGGACTTCTGACCATTTTCCGGTTTCATCTGTTTCTCTTTTTTAAAATTACTTCTTGTATAAGGTACTTTATAGAGACTATACAAATTGTAATTGTTCGTATGATTGACAACATCTAATTGTTGAACCACAAATAGAGCATAAACAAATCAGTTTGTAGTCTTTACTCATTGAATTTCTCACAAATCGTGATCAACAGCAAAAAAAAAAAAGAAAGGGAAAGAAAAAAGAACTCGTATAAAAAAGTGGTTCCTTTGATTTTGATAGACCTGGACATTCACCGTAAAAAGAAAAAAAAATCCAATCTTAGATTTATCGAAATTTTCCAAAAAAAAGGGGAAAATTGAGCTGAAGTCGAAAAAAGGAAAAAGCAACACAAGTTTGAAATGGAATTTTTAGAAATGTTCAAAATTCAAGATGCAAAAATGAAGAATAATGAAACAAAACCAAAACTTCCTTCAAAATCAAAAAATGAAACTAAGGTCGAGAAATTAAATTTGCAAATACTTCAGTACTATTATTATTAACAAGTGGATGGAAGCAGTAGAAATTTCGAAATCAGTCGAATCCATCCGCAAAAAAAATGCAGTCGACATGTTTACATGAACTTTTCAACATTCATACTGGGAAAAGAAATGAGAAAAAAGGGAAGACAAACATAATACATTAATCAATGACGGGGTGTAAATCAAAAAATTACAATGCAAGCTCCAACAATTTTAATTGTGACGGTATACTTGACCCAAAATATGGCAATTAATAAAAGATTGAAAAGGGAGAAAACAAAAAAAGCCTTTCCATATTGTTATCAAAAACAAAACAGAGTGTTCATACGGTAAAGCGGTTGAATAGATATATTAATACCAGCATGTATATTGTTATTTTAAATGATTAATCCTCAAGCACCCACATCATAGTACAAGTCTCCCGAAAAAAAAGGAACATAAACAGCTTAAAAGTACTTGATCGTTGGGATTTCAAACATAGTTGACTAATTTACCTATTTCAAAATAAAATCCAGAAGAAAAGGGAAAGGATTTCACCAAGGCGCAAAAACTATTTTTTAAACAGCCGAAGATGATGATAACCGCCTTTCTTACTTATAAAAAAATTGAAGAAAAATGTGGCGATGATGAAATCAAAAAAAATACAAAAAAGAGGTAAAAAACAAATGCGCTTACACGCTGTTCACGAAATTTCCTTTTGAAATTGAATACTGAAAAGTCATGAACATGAAAACCGACAAACTTTCGCCTTTTTAACTTCCGCGTTAATGTATGTATGTGTGTGCGTGTGTGTGTGTGTGTAATCCAATGAAGTACCCAAGCAATCAATTAAAATTACATCCCGAAACATTTAACAACAAATGAATATAAAAAAAAGAACAACATCCAAACAGCAACTCTCAATGAACCAAATAGAATTGAATCACAGGAACAACTTTTAAATTACATATGAAACTAATTTGAGTCATTCAATACTTGAATTTATATACAGTTCAGAATATGAAGGACAAAAGGACCTGGTAAAGTTCTGTGATGTCTACCTTTTATTCTTTTTTGCCATATTTCATAAAGCAAAACTCAATAAGGAATAACAATCGACATTCCTAACACTTTTTTGGGAAAGAAGAAATGCGGATGGCATTTTTGAAACTCAATTTTAAAAAGCCTAATTAAGAAAACCTTGCCAGAACAAGTTCCGGAACACCTACTATTTCCCCGGATGAGGATTTGATGAAAGTTGCGAATTTGACGACGTGGAATGAGGTGAAGTTGAACTGCTCGATAACACCTGGTTTCCGTACCTGGCGCTTAAAGCTGCCACCGCTGCTTGCTGATGGAGTAACTGCTGCTGAGCCAGCAATGCGTATTGCGCTAATAACTCCTGTAATATGTGCTTTTTTACATTTGATAATCATTTGATAAAAACAATCATAATGACAAAAAACCAGAAATATAAAAGGAACCTCTTTTTAGCTGTCATCAACAACATATCCATGAAAGAATGTACCGTTGAAGCGAGCTGTCCTATAGCAGATGTTCCGGAAACGGTTGTACTCGAATGAGTTGGTGTCCGAGGAGCAACAAAATTTCCACCTAAAGCATTCGCAGCTGCAGCAGCTGCAATTGCTGCTGCAGCCATTTGTTGCCGTTCGGAAGTTAGTGTTAAATGGGAATTATTCTGTGATCCACTAAACAAATCCAGTGCATTTGTTACAGAGGCTGTCGATGGCATACTTGTTGCAAGCTGTGTGTTAGTGAAATTCGCCAACAACGGTGCACCTAACCCCGCGTTCGCTGACGCTGCCGATGGAATTCTAAAAGTTTAACTTTTGTTTTCCTTCATGCTTCATATAATATTAATTCGAAAGAAAAAACAAATTAAGAAAACAGTAATACTGTTTTGCTTACACGCCATTTCACAAAAATTTTTACTAATTTCTCTGTCTACACTCGGTCACAGAAAGGCTTCAAAAAAAAAAAACAAAAACAAAAACAAATAAACAAACTGTCCACTGATCAACTATAAATTACCTATTCAAACAAAGATTGCTTGAAATAAACACCACAGTCTTTCACTTCGTTACCGTAAGATTCCCTAACTAAACAACAACGAGAAATATATTCAAGAGTAGGCAAATTGCGACCGATCCATCTACACTTTATTCTGATAAAAATGCAGAAAAAACTAACCGACTGGAAGGAAGTGAAGTTTGTTGCACTGATGTAGTACCAGAGGTAGTGCTAGCTACCGGTGTTTGTCGGCTTTCAGTGCCACCAGTGGTACCAGCCAACTGTCCGGCGGTAGCAACCGCAGCAGCAGCCGCAGCAGCAGCTACAGCAGCTTGTGGTGTATGACCAGTTCGATTTGTAATCACCGATCCGTTACTTGCAAGTGAACGTAGCTGACTCAGCGAATCGTCGATAATAGGTGGAAGGGTTGGACAAAACGGGTTTAGAAAAGAGATGACCGCAGAACTAGCAGCTGTTTGAAGGGTCTGCTGCTGCTGTTGCTGATGATGATGATGTTGCTGCTGCTGTTGTCCACACATTGTTGTCGGTGGCAGAGGTACAATCGATGGGAGACTTGAAATGGAAGCAGAGGAGGTAGGTTGTGTTGTACACTGTGTTGATGAGATGCCGCTATTCGACTGCATACTGCTGGTTGATGCCAATGGAATATTGCCAGTACTACCTGCTGCACTCATCCGTGGCGAATGATGCGGACTGAAAGATATACTATAGTAATGTCTCTTTAACGATCACTTTAATATCCTGTGACTAAGGCTAAAAAGTTAACAGGTAATACTAATGAGTGCTCCACACAGGAATGTAATATTTTACAATGTACATGTAAAGAAACAATTCCTACAAACTATATTATGGCTGAACACGTATGAGACTTGACTACGGTATTGTCAGTGACCCATCATTCTTAGGCCACATCTGCTCATTGCAAATGAAAATTACAAAAAGACGAATTACAGTAAACACACCTGATACCAAGACCCAGTGAAGAGCCGCTTGCGAGAGATAGTGATAACCTGGTATTTAATGCAAGCAAATGATCTCGCCGCCTAGCAAGCTGTGACAGTGTTTCTTCCAAACGAACATTTTCCATTTTTAACTCATGCAAACATGACAGAAGTTGCGCAACTGAAAAAAAATCCTTATCTCATTATTCTGGTAAAATCGACTCGCTCCACTTTTTTTGTGGTATCTCTTCTACTGAAAGACAAGTAAACTAAAACTGACATAAACTGACCTATGGCGTAAAATATCACCCTTTATTTAAAGATAACGCCAGGTTGTTTTTATAGATTTACCTGAATATTGCTAAAATTCCCTGTATAAACCCTGCATATTCTATAAAAACTAATACACTGACTAAAGTTAATGGATAAATGCCAGGGAGCACTTAATTATGTTTACAATAACGAAAAAACATCCCTTTGAGGAACATTTCATTCATTAGAGAGAGCTAAAACGAATAAGAACTTCCAAAATAACCTAAAGATCCCCACTTCTTTCCCTCTTCACCAAAAGCATGGATGGGAAAAAAATTTGCAAGATCAGTGCAAAACGAAAACAAAGAAAGGAGAAGACAAACTATCAAATGGTGCATGACTCATCAAAAAGTGTGATCCCTGCTCCCACTGCCGTTCCAACAATTCTTCCATCGATTGTGGAAAAGCTACGGGTTGTTGTGAAACGGGACAAAGAGATGTAGCGGCAGCTGCACCAGACGTTGATGGGAGTGACGACGTTACGTGAGTCCGATCTACCGCTACAACCGCCGCACTAAAAAAAACATCAAATACGTAAAACAGAAACTGATGTAATTACTTTAAAAAGGCCACTTTCCGTGAAGTCAATATAAAATTGGTTTGGTGTACACTGTCATTCATCATTTCATGCTCAAAAGTATCTGCAAAACTTCAAGTAATGCACTGATTTTTCAACCCAATTCCTCATTCCCACAATATCAAAAAAGGTACCCATTATCCGGGCTTACTACAGCTTTTGGTTGTGCTCTTATAAGTGGTACACCAACAAACGTTGATGCTGTTGTTACTGTTGATGTTGACGGTTGTTGTTGCTGCGCTGATGCCAAAGAACACGTCACTACAGTACACTGAGCTGGAAAAAAAAAAAAAAACCATATCAGTGGAAATTTTACTAGTTTATTATAGAAACGAGAAAGTAATGGCACATGTCTTTCTCTTTTAACCTCAGTTAAACTACTAATGAAAAATTACCCGCTGAAGTCCCTGCCGAAACTGTGCAAGTTGTCATTTCATGTTCTCCGGAGGTTGAAGGAGCCCTTGAATGAGCTGTTGTAACAGTTGTCATACTACTATCACGCTCATTTAATCGCTCCCGTTGAAAATCGGAAACTGTTTCCTGAAGAGGAAAAATTCGACAGTATTACTGGAACTAAAAATTATGAGAAAAAAATGCAAATGAAAGAACAAAGGGAATAACAATTACAGTATCAAATAACTAGGAAATACCATGCATCATGATGTAAATAATTTAATTAAATCATCCGTTAGAATGAATGATGAAGCGCAGATGGCGCGAAAAAAGTGACAGATAAATACTACAATGTTTTGAAATATTCATAAATTACCGAGATTAAAGGCCCAACCGATTCAAGCAATGCTTTCATGGATTTACATGCTTTGTTATTACGCGGGCGTTTCGGTTTCTCCGTACCATCAGCTGCTTTTCTTTTTGCTAAAAAAAAATGAGGTAAATTTCAATACGCTTCTAGAGTACAAAGCCATCTGGACACGAACAAGTATGTTTGAAAATTGTATGGATTGACCAAGATGTACCTTCACGTTCAGCCATGTTTTCATTATTACTCAGTCATTACCACTTTCACACATCAGTGCAACACTTCTTACACAACGCAATGAAACAGACAAAAAAAGAACGGAAAACGCGAATTCGTTAATCAGTACGAGTTTTCAGTCTCATTCAACATTATTTCAGTAAGATTAATGCTTTCATGTAACTACATTTATCAGAGTAATGAAATTATCCAGATGACTTTCCTTTCTAAGCAAAATACATACCATTTTTACTTCCAACACTTGCAATTGAACCATTGTCCGTAGGGACATAATTCGTACGAGATTGTAGCTTGATTTCCAACTGAGATATTAAACTACCATTGTTCAAGTCTTCTGCTACGCCGGTTGATAATACCTCGCTCTAAATGAAAATTATACTTCAAAGCGGAGTTTTGAAACAGTTTCAACAATTAAAAACAGTCTCGACAGTCTTTGAAAGATAAGACTTCTCCTCAGAAAGAATGCTAACTTTTTGTGCAGATACACCGAAAAGTGCAACGTTGGTGGGCAAAGGAACAGTTGCGTTTGAAGAACTTGGTAATTCGTAGACTGATTGATCTTTCTTTAGTGAAACTGATGCAGTAACAGGCGGAGGCGTACTGTGAGCTGTTGAAGATCTACAACAGCAAGTTTTAATTTAATCTGAACATGTGAAACATTCACATATAACATGCGAATCGTATAATTAACAGAAAAAAATCTGTCCATACTTGGAAGAAATCCTGGTATTGCACTTATCAATAGTATTTAGAATTTCTGTAATGTGCTTAATACTGAAAATTATTACCTGCCACTTGACATCGGTGGACTGCAAGCATCATCACGCATTGAATGGACTGTTAGTGACTGAGACATTGCAGCATTTAACATAGCTCTGTCAACTGTTGGTGGTGGCAATGAAGTCCTGAAAGAAATATTTAGCGGATATTACCGTAAAAAATACATGCACTTGAAGGGCAATCAAACAAAATAAACGAAGAACAAACTTTTTCTAAGAAACAATTAATTACTCTAACTTCATCTACTCTGCTCTGAAAAAAAAAAAAATCAGCCAACCGGTATAAAGGGTCTGCAAGCATTGCAGGTCCCTCAGTTCGTAAACCCGACGAAAATGATGTTGTAGTCCCACTGGATGACGTGGTTGCTCCTAATTTGACACCGACATAACTACTACTGATTGCCGGTGTCGTGTTCTGCAGCAATTCCTGTAAAAGAATAAATGTAAAGATGGGAATGCGTCAGCTTAAAGCAACAATAATTATTCTGAGCGAAAAACTCCATCCCTACTTTAGTGAGTTTTTTTTTGCTCTGACCGCCTTTATTATTGCCACAAACACTTAAAAAATTTTAGTGCCCTGAAGCAAGGTGTTACAATGTGAAATATGGAAGACCTGATATCGCAATTTATTCCCTACTAAATGATATTCTCAACACCACCAACAACTAAGGTTACAGAGATCAAAAATTTAATGTTCTTTTTTGCTCCTCTTGAAAATATTGCAGTATCACGTTACCTATCATGTTACTTTGAACTAATCAAATTCCTCAAGTAAGCAATGATTACAAGGAATTTTAAGTTGTGTCAAGATTTATATTAAGAAAGTTCGCGCCGTATCAAATTTAATGAAACAAAATTACGGATGTGCTAAAGTGAGGTGAGCTTGTAGAAGAAGTTTGACCGCTGTTATCACCACTGCAGATATTCCCAACAGCTAATTTTGGAGTTACTGCGCGTTGGACACCACCGCCATTACCACCACCCCCACTTCCAGACGAACACGATGATTCTGCCCGATGTCGATATGGTGGTATAATTTTTATTAACGGATCGCTGATCTGCAATATAACGAAAATAAGATATTAACTCCAACATTAGTACTATGAATTTGCATAAGCGCTTACATATGCCTTCTATCCATTAACAAAACAACACTCCATCGCTAATTGTCTACCCTACTCTCTAAAGTAAGCGGTTTCGTACGAAGGTATTTCATTTATCTTTTTTATGGGAAATCTAGAAATACGTTTATTATCGCTTGCAATCGTTCACATGCAACAATTAATTTAAATACCTTCAGCAACAAGCAGTTATCTTCTGATACCTGAATTCATGAAAATAAACTGTAAACACTCCTATGAATCTTCCCTTCTTAATATGACTAAAAAACTTATTAAAAGAACAAGAAATGTTTAAAAAAATATTTATTTGAAATATTTGAAGCAATGAAAATAATGTGACCGAAATAAATAATTATGACAGTATCAAGGAAAAAGGTATAAAAATTCTGTATTACTCACATCCCTGTTCACTTCGATAAGGCAAACCGATAAGCTAAATCAGACATCACTTAACCATGTTTAAATTAATATGATCCTATCGATATCGCTTGAAAAAAAAGAAACACCTTATTCAAAAACAAAAATTCCGAACATAGATAAAAAAGCAAAAGTTAAGGACC